ATCCACACCATACTTCTTCCACCTTCCTAAGGTTATAAGAAGCGTTTTTCAAAGCAGTGCGACTCATTTTAAAGACGAATCGTGGCGACTCCCTGTGCAGGTCCAACCCAGGATGGGAGTGGACCTGTTAGACCAAAGAAGCCATGTTCTGTAGCATAGACAGTGGGTGACAAAGAATGAGGCCAAACCAGGGTTAACATTGGTTTGGCCTTTCGGAGATGGAGAGCACTAAAAGCATCCACAGGACTAACATTTAGGCAGATGGGGCTTAATTCCTGCTACATGCTAAGTACAGCAGCTGGCTAACGTGTATATGTAAAACTTTTCAGTTTTGTACCTCTGTATTGAATCTGGTTGTAATTCGGAGTCATTCCAACTGACTGCAGCGTTAGCGTTTTGTTGTCCAATTAGCGGAAACCAGCACGTTTTCCTGGATCAGCAAAGGAAGTGATTTAGCTCATCTTTGCTCAGTCTCGGTCCAGTTTATGTCGAACATAACGCTGCAGTCCGTGTAGCATTTTAATGAGAAGCTGTTAAAATTTACACTAGAAAAGTGGGAGTTTGTTCAACTATCACAGCGTTAACATGAAATTTCTCGTTTCATGTACAACTCCCGGTGACCTTATAACTTTATATGTACTGTATCAGTATTACTGGGAGACATTCCTCTGCTTGTGTTACTGCAGATGCATCTGCTCCAAACAACGTTAGACATACGTACGCATATTGCTAAAATGTAAACCTCTTTATTTGACACTGTGTCGCTGCAATGCCACTGACAGCCACGGGCCCTATGGACCCTATGGTCTCTATGGTCTGTATGGGCCCTATGGACCCTATGGTCTCTATGCATTAGCTCTGGAGCCGGTCACTACCTGCGCTACCTGACTGCCACAACTGTCTCCAGCCGTCGTGACCACATATGACGTAGTTTCAGAGACTGGGCAGGAGGGGAGAAGAGGATGGGAGGGAGAAGAGGAGGGGACGCTACGATGCTGGAGTTTGGACTCTCACTTTGTCCTTATTGGTCGAGAGAGAGAGAGAGAGAGAGAAGCTGGTTACTGCAGCTTTAAGTGGATGTATATAAATTTACCAGTGCAGTGCTCTGTTGAGCAGCATTTGGTTATATCTAATTTGGGAGTAATCGTATCACATTTTGGACTTTAAACAATTTTGAAGGAGTTTCAGATCTGAGGCTTGTAACTTTTTTGCGTACTATGCCACTAAATTCTGTAGTTATAACCAATTTGCAGAGCAGTACCCAGATACTGGTATCTGGGGCTGCAGAGCCACATGCTGGGATTGCAATAGATTTGTCAAAGGTTTTCCAAACCAAGACCAGAATCAAAGTAGCCCTCTGCCAAAGTTTCCCATCTGGGGCACTACAACAAACGCTCAGACTGCACATTCAAGTTGAAATGTAAAACTTTTGTAATTTACAGAATTGCATTTTCTTAAATGACACAACCAAATTATTGAAGCAATTTTTATCTTTACATGTAAACTTTTGATTGCGATATCCAAAAACAAATGACATTTTAAGTGACTGGACACTGGTTCTGTTGTAGCACCTCAAATGCCAATCTTTGGCTCAGCACTGACATTTGCTAATTTTGTGTTAAAAGAAATCATGTTTGGGGCCTCAGAGGTGTTTGGCCCGGCCCTGGAGGCATGCTGACCAGATAGGTTTGTCACTTTTAATGTGATGTCTTAGTGGTTCTGGCAGTTCAACTGTACGAGTGTGTCCGATAGTGTCCTGCTGACCGTTGCAGCCACTGGCAACACTAACCTAATCTACGTATTCAAAGAGCCTACAGTGCACAGGACAGGACGAATATCAAGCAGCGTTGCTGTACAGTTTCTCCTCCACAGTCACAAGCAGCAACAGAGACGAAGTCTTCCCTTCTTCTGTCAGCAGGTCGGGCAGCTCCAAGGCCTCAGTGCAAATTACAGCTCTATAACCTAAACTGGCCTTGAACACGCCAAACAGTGATGGGACGGCAGCATGAGGCGCTCACTTCCTCGGAAAGGTGAGGTGTTTGTGCCCTGAATAATTTTGTGCAGACCCAGCAAACACTCGAACGTTTACGGATTTGATTCAAAGGACAAAATTCTGATGTCTGTCACAAACACCTCTGAGGCCTGTCACTAAGTGAAACATGCCCAAAATATTTTTCCAAAGCTGCTTTGATGAAAAAAATCTAGAACTCTAAGCACATGTTAACTGTAGCAAACGTGTTAGTAGTTTTTGAAAAAGGTGACATTTGTCCACCTAAGTCTGTGACTGGGGTTGAAACAACCCAGGACACTGTGGACAGCAGCGCCACACCCAGTATCAACAACTTGCATCAGATTAAAAAGCAGCAACTAACCTTGATTAAAAATCTGCTTCACTGTTTAGAAATGTAAGATTTTGTGCTCATGTCGGGTCCGAGGTTCATACTGCGTCGAGTGCTCGCTGGGTTCCTTCAGTGAATGTTTCTGTGCAGCAGTCCAGGCAGTTGATTAGCATATTAGAGCAGTTGGTTTCATTAATAATCAACATGTTACCGCCCCCTGTTCAGCGTGTTTGGCCGTGTGTGATGTTGCAGTCTGTATGATGTGGAAAGCGGCAAATGCTGCTAAATCTAACGAATGAGAAATGACTTGAAAAGCAGAGGAAGAGGCCAGTGTGCTTGCTGGTTTTTCAGCGACTCCTGAGATTAAAAAAAGACAAACAAATGCAATGGGAAACTGCTGACTCGGTTCCAGCGACCGGTCGTCTGAATGAGGACGGACACGGTGTAGACGTCTCCTCACCAGACAGAGCACATTTACACTCCTCCGACCACACGTGATGTGAATCAGTCTGGTTCAGAGGGCAGGGCTGTGGTTGGACATGTTGGTCAGGCAGAACTCCATCCCATGCTTTAACAGCAATTCACACAAACAACTGGGGTTTTTTTTTTCTCTTTTGTCGGCAAGATGTTCGGCTGTTTTGTGTTTTGATACTGATGATTAAGTGGATCTTCTTCTGCAGAGAATGGAGGCCTGAAGCACAGGAGGCTGGGCGTGTTCAGCACCTGCGAGGTGAGATGCAGTTTTTATTCAGACAAGTGAAGATGATGTGCTTTGAAAACAATCGGAACACTTGGAGTCTTTGCTTTCTCTCTGCAGTTCTGAGTTTAATTTGCCAATGAGGTGTGGTCAGTGTTGGTGAGGACTTTGGAGACATCGGAGGATGCTTGGACTAAAGGTGCCTCATCCACTTTTTGGTAACACTTTATTTTACATTGGCGTCTCAAAAGTAATTTCAGAGTAGGTGTGCCATAAGCTACTGTGTAATTTGGTAAAACAAGACGTGTTCAGTTGGTACCAGGGTATACATTTCTCAAGGCAGTCGTTGACCTTGCATTTGGCTGTGAAGCCCTTTATCAGAGTTGTATGGCCACGGTGGCCCCTCATCAGATGTGATTGAGTATGGCTGTCCAAACAGGCCAAAAAGCATGTAATTTACTCCTGCAGCCACACCTTGGTTGCAAGTTGTCTGCACGTTAACAGGTGACAATCTGACATTGACATGTTGGAAATGTGTTAAAAGCTGATCGTAGCCTTTCTGAACAGGCTGTTCCCCATTGGCTGTGGACAGGTCAGGTTAGAACCACTTCGGTAATGTGAAGGGGTGCCCCAACACAGCTTAACAGTACCCCTTTGTTATGTTTCTGTCATCTTTAGGAAGATTATTTAAATGTTTGTTGTTTTATACAAACAAAACTTTCAGTTTGGTACTACGACCCAACAAACGTGGGGATCACATCATCTTCCCCACCTGTCATTGGTTCACAAGTGAAAATGAATTGTATCAGACACAAAGAATTTTTATAATATATTTTTTGGAGAGTTGATTATATAAAAAACAACAAACAGCTGAGTAATCTTCCCAAAGAATATGGAAACATGACAGTTTTTGTTAAGTAGTGTTGGGGCACCCATTCAGCTTACAGGGTTTAACCAGTGGGGAACAGTCTGTTCAGAAAGCAGTGATCAGCCTTTAATGGGCTGTCAACATATTGTTTACATGTTAACATGTCCAATTTTAACATGTGGACAACACTTGGCTGCAGGGATAAATTTAGCCTGTTTTTGGCCTTTTTGGCTTACCATAGAAAAACTGAGGCTGTAAAACATTACATGTGTACTGTACATACACTTTTCTCGGCTATTGGAAGATACTGCATATGCTGTCAGAAGTTCCTAATTATTGTTTGTATACATGTTTATATTTTTAGTTTAGCTGTTTAATGTTTGGTACATGTAAATGCAGAAATTACACTATAAAATAAGAGGATCTGTGTAAAAGTGATCTTGATTTTAATAAAATCAAAAGCGGATGGCTCAAGGCAGCCCTTATACTTGTATCTTTAGTTTTGACAGTGCCAGAAGTGATGCTGGGCATTCTGTCATCATGACGCCAGAAGAACATAATAGCGTAATTAGTCATTAAGAGAAAGTACATGTCCTCTCCTCCAGTTTCTCCCTAATGCATCCATGTTTCTTCTGATCTGTGATTGTAAACAACATCAGCAGACTGACAGCTGGATCAGCTGGCAAGAGCTTAGTCATGCAGTGTAAACGTGCACTGGTAGGTTTTATTTTTTGGTAAAGATGTCATGTGAGTGCGACTCACGCCTGGAGGAGTCTTGACATTATGTCTTGCTGGCGTTCTCGTAGATAACATCCGAGGTGATGGACTGCTGCTTCTTCTTCTGCCACATTAACAGGACACACTGATGTATGAACACGTACTGCTCCTGCAGAGAAGAACCAGCAGCTGGTTAAAGCCTCAAACATCTGGACGCTGAGTTTTTAAGCTGATTCTTTGTTCTGAAAGTCAAAGAAATAAATGATTTAATATTTAAATAGTGGTTCCAAGGCTGTTCGGTGTTGATGGTAGGTTTGCGCCTGTATTGGTAGTCTTGCACCTCTTAGTGGTCACTAAAGCTCTGTAGGGATGACGTGTTTCATAGGCGGCCGTTAGCATTGTCCTGGTTCCTTTGACAAAAGGCCAATGGGATTTTTCATAGGCTTTTGGGTTGTTGCAGATGTTTTGTTCGATAACCTCCACAGGTGAAACCCGCTCTTATGATTTTTGGCACCCAAATACAGCCGCCAGAAGTAAAAGGCTATTATTGGGCTGTGACTCGGCATCACCGCCATGCCTTCCAACTTGGGTCACTCAGAACAGCTGATGCATAATGAAGCTGTAAAGGTGGGCTGGTGAGTAGATGAGTCTGTTCGGCATGATGATGTGTAAAACCCCAGACGGCCTGTATCTCATTTAGCCTTCCGTTAGCAAAAGTGCTGACTCAGATCCAGGTTTTAGGACTCACTACTACAGCATTCTATTTGTGGCCTATTAGTAGTTTTGCATATGTTAGGACAGAAGTGCATTGCAATCTCTGAAGAAAAATAAGTCGGAGTCTCTTTTCTCTCATAATTATCAGCTAATGCATGGGTTAGAATGCTGCAGACCTTTCCTGAAAATCATAAGGTTTTAATGAATTCTTGAGTATCAAAGTAATTCATTGATCGTTGTCAGAACATCCAGCAGTGATTAGCCAAAGTGAATTGTTAATGGATACTTCGGCGTACTTAGTGTTCCAAAATGTGAACAGACGGGCCTCAAAGTTGCTGCCTACAGTCTAACTCGATCGGCTACATTGCAGGAGTTGGAAAGCTTCAGAACCTGCTTGGGAAACATTGGGTTTTTAGGATTTCTTCAGTATTAATGTCATCCTTTCAGTAGAATAACATGGTACAAATGAACTGATAACAGTTAATTTGGTGTACTTGCTGTTCCAAATGTACTGACAAAATTACATTCATACGGAATAAATCTTAAAACCCCAGTGTTTCTCAAGCAGGTTGTGAAACGTTGCAGCTCCTTCTCAGTTACAGTGTAGGCAGCAACTTGGAGGCGCACGTATAGTCTGTATTTGTTTATGAATTAGTTCTTAATAGTTCACTTGCCAACTGTCACTGAATCGCTTTGAAACTAAAGAATTCGTACAAACCTGATTTTCAGGCAAGTTCCATAGTGTTGCATTAGCTCATAATTATGAAAAAAAGATCTCGTAATTATGAGATGAGTCATAAAGATACCATTTTTTTTCTCCTTTGAATGCAAGGCTGCCGTATGTTAGTATTCAGTCTGCGTCTCTAATATAGTGGTGAAACAACCACAAAGGAACCAAAATGGTCACTAACCAGACCCCAATGACGAGATGAAAACAACCACTGTGCCCACGTGGTATGCATTTGGGTCAGGTAGTGGTTGTTTTATGGCTTGTTAGTAATCCTTTCTAACAAGACACAGAACAACCACTAAAGACTACAAACTGATGCAAAACCAACAAGTGCAGAGAGACAACAGAATCAGGGTTTTGTTGTGGTGTAGTTGATATGTGCAGACGTTCTAGGCCTAAACAATGTCATGTATTGGTAGAGTGAGTGTAATTTTGTCAAAAGCCTCCCTAAACATGTGAACAAATAAGGATGGATTCAGCTTTACAGGAACTGTGTCTGCACACATGGCAAGGTTTCTATTCCCAGGACTGACTGGTTCTTGCAAGTAAAGTGCAGAATTAAATCAACTGTAACTTGTCTTCAACACTAACATGTTCATTACCCTATTGCAGTGGGGGCCAGTCTCGAAGGCCGCCGCCCTGCCCGCTGCCGAGTACCTGGATCAGGTGTGTTCAGTCAGTCAGAAGCTGGAAGATGCTGTCTAAAGACAAAGTTAATTGACATTCTTCCAGCTTCTGACTGACTGAACACACCTGATCCAGGTACTCGGCAGCGGGCAGGGCGGCGGCCTTCGAGCACCGGGACTGGCCTGTACAGTGAGTTCTCACCTCAGTCTGGACCATGGAGAGGCGGTGTGATCGCATCTCAGACACCATGCCCAGGATGTCTGCAAACTCGTGCTCCCTAATGTGCTGCATCAGGCGATCCAAAGCAATGAAGGTCCCTGTCCGGCCGACTCCAGCACTGAACACCACAGACAGCTTTATGAGAACGACACAGTCCAGCCACAGTGGGAGGAAACTATATGACAAAATATCTAATTGCGTTCTATGGCTCTGGCTTCCCAGTCAGGGTACTCTCATGTCTCTTATACATCCTACATCTGCAATTGAACCCAAAGTAGAGAACTGAGGACACTGCTGGAAGATCCATGACCGATGAAAGCTGAAACATCCCTGTATCAGAAATCAGTTGTTGACTGGAAGTCCCGTTTCATCTTATGTGGGCGGGAAAAGAAAAGATTCAACTGAGGGAAACGACGGTGCTGGTAAGACATGTACCGCCAATGTCTCTGATCTGTTCCGCTGTGAGCAAATAAAATAGTGACAAACAACCCGAACAGGACAAGAGCTCATGACAAACTCAACCCACATAGTCACTCTGGATTTCTTACCAGCATCCGCTGTAATCAGAGGTTTCAGCCATACCAGCTATCCCACCACCTAATGTGCGTAAACTGAGAGCCAGAATTTATTTTAAGCGGCCAGAGACAACGGGTTTGAAGTTGTACTCAGACTAGAGGAGGGTTTGGCTGGAACAAAGCCTGAGAGCAAATCTTACCCATGGACTTTTATCCACAGGTAAATCAGGTATAAAGCACAGGCATACAGCTGCAACGCTAGCATGCTAAGTGGCCAGCGTTATCTGATCACACCATACAAACGGATCCCTGTCAAATATGTTTGTGTTTGATTACATCAGTTTCTCATTTACAAAAACAAAACTGTATTGATGTTTGAGTGGGTCGTCCTCACCTGCAGTGGACTATGATGGGGTCTTTGCTCCTGTTGGCCTGCTGACGGACAATGTGGACAAACTGCAGGATGCTCTCTATGGCGTTGACTGTGGGGACGCCGTGATCTGGCCATGAGGTGTAGTTCAGATGGAGGACGTCCCGAGTCTCATCAGCCTGCAGGGGGCAACAGCAGCACCGATTCATACAGTGGCTGATATGTCTCTACAGCAGAAAGCTTTACTGCATGTTCATGTATCTGGAATGTATTTATTAGTGCTGTCAAATGATTAAAATATTTAATTGCATAATCGTCCATAGTTCATGATTTTCTTATCTGTGCTAAACAGTGGTGGAAAGTAACTAAGTACATTTACTCAATAAGGTGTCTGAGTATTTTCATTTTCTGTTACTTTGACTTCACTACATTTTGGAGGCAAATATTGTATTTTATAACTTCAGTTACTTTTCAGAACCAGATATAAAAAAAATAGTCTAATTATAAGACCTCATTGATCTGTGGTGGAAAATTCACAAACTACCCAGCAGTACTTCAAATTAAATGCACATAAGCCACTTAAAACTAGCCCTGTACCAGCTGCAACATGAAATGTGATGTGCACAATAATGCATCAGTCATTATAACACAATATGAGAAACAGGAATGTGAAATGTGCCAATGAGTTCTTTTTTTACTTTTAGTGCTTTGTTTTGATGCCAATACTTTTGCACAAGCGATTTGTGCACTGTTGCGTTGACAGAAGGTGCAAAGCAACCACTGATGACTACACAAAGATGTGGAACATCCACAGAAAGACTGATCACCACCTGCAATGTCAGGACTTGCAGCTGTAGTGAACAAAGGTGGTCAGGAGCTTTTCTTGCTGAAAATGTTTTGGTAGCATCAAATATAACAATCTAGAGGCAGCACGTTAAAATTACAAGATCAAGTCTTCTTTTTTGGACTACTCAGAGGCACTTGGATATATTTTTGTCCTCTCTTCTTGCAACAGCATCTAGTGGCCATTAGAGAAATTGCAGCCATTCCAACAGTTTCAGGCTGAAAAAAAAACCCTGGGCCTGAAGTCCATAAACTGGTACTCACATATCCCAGTCTGAACTTCCTCACGGTCCATTCTGGAGACTCTGTCTCAGAGAGCATCTCCACGCTGATCTCTCCGTACATCACCGGCTCGTCTGTGAACGGCCAGTAGTGATCGCACTTCACCTGAAAACACATAAAACGGCTCTCACCGGCAATCAGAAAACTAAAGTTCGCTGAATGGGCTGTGGCCACTAGGATCGGAAAATTATCACAAAAAAAGAGGATTTTATATTTTACGTACATATTCAGATGTTCTTTTTTATGCCCTCATGTATCTTTTTGGTTTTGGTACAAGTGTTCCTTTTTTTTTTTTTTGACAATTCCAGCAGTTTTTGTTTGAAAACAGTTTCCTTGCTTCAGCAGTCTAATCAAAAAGGCCTTTTTCCCCACATAAAAACTGTTGGAACAAACAATTAAAAGCAGGAGGCATCAAAGTTTAGCTTTATACATGGTTTAGATGGTTTTACACATTTTTCTATATTTATTCATTTTCACATTACATCATATTGCATTTATTTTTTACACTCCGAACACTTTGGGCCTCCGTACCAAATGGCATGAAATGTTTTTCAGATAATGCTGTACTTTTTTTCTATTTTCCTGTTATTTAGAATATATATTAAATGTTGAGATCCCCTCTGTTTTAGATAAAACTGCATAAATACTGTGAATTTTAAGTGGCTAAAAATGTCTACAGTGACTGAAGCTGGTCTTGCACAGCATGTGATTTGGGAACATAAAATTAAAGTTTGTTTCTGGGGAGCTTTACGTTTGAACTTGGAGGAAACAAATGAAACTCACCCTGCGGCGCTCGTTGCACTGCGTGAGCATGACAGTGATGGGGGACTTCTGCTGCAGCACCATCTTCCAGAAATCATTCCGTGTCTCGGGCAGCGGGCCCTGAGTGGCAATGTACTCTTTAGCGTGTCTGTAGCCCTGAATGTCACACAGAAACACACCGTTACTGCCATAGTACTAGACAAAACAGATTTACATGAACGATACTTGTGCTTTTCTTCAGTGTTTCCAACTTTACATTTTAATGGCACAAGTTAAAAAGTAACACACATTGCTAATAAATCTTAAATGGATGTATAAATGTATGTTAGACAAGCGGCTTCTCACTGGGATATAGTTGGCATTGATGTAGTCGGAGCCTTCATCGTTGTGCATGGAGATCAGCTTCACCCGACTGAAGTCGTCTGCAGAGGAGACAAACACTGAATCAGGGATCAGCTGCAGTTTGTCCTCAGGCGGCTAAACTGCACAGTCTTCTAACATCAGTGTTTAAACATGTTTTGATGAACGTCTACAATGTGAATGTTTTCTTTGGAGCCAGAAATACTCCTACTGCATTTTTTTCTACTGCAGTTATTTCTTCGACAAAGCCTATGAGAGCAAATTAGCAGGTTTTGATTTTCTAATTGCATTTTTACTGTTTGACTAATGAGAGGGTGTTATGGATTTATGTACAATGTTAGCATCTGTTTTGTCATAGACAGGTTGCCAGGACTCTTGACAAAGAGATCTTTAATCTCAGGTTTTATGGTTAAATGAATGCATTTTAAAAATGAAGTTGTCTAATTAGTTCTAACTCCATATCCGGTCTTGTATTTGTGCTGCCAGTGGGACTCACAGGGCAGGATGTTGGTGTATCTGTTCTTCGACCTGTTGACAGGCAGGTCTGCTGCATCGTGGGAAAGATCCAGGCCGATGCTCTTCAGATCCTGACAAACAGCAACCAGAGGAAACACATCTCATTAGAGCCCACAACAGAGTCTGAATTTAATGGATGAACCTCAAACTTCAGGCAAAGAAACTCAGAATTTGATCATTTACATATTGGTTTTCACTAAAACTAGAATCAAGGACGACAATCGCAGTGAATCTCAGACTTGACTGTGACATTTAGAGAAGTGGATGATTATGCCTCTTCCTTCCCATAATCTTAAAATATTGAGGGTAAAATAGGAGTTTTATGTCAGTGCTTACTTAGCCACTGTTTTATTGTGACCAGCATCAAGATGCATGTGAAAGTGAGCTTTACACTGACACAAACACGGTCACACTGGTCTTTAATAGTACTGTTCAAGGGCCTCTATGAATAAAATGAAGAAATATTAAAACGTGTCAAACCTTGTGCTTTCAGAGGAAACGGACAACAGTATAAAGTATAAATACTGCAGTAATGTGTGTGAACCGACGTACCTCAAACTGCAGGGAGAACTTGTACGCTGAGTCTTTACTCATGTCTTTAAAGTAGGCGTCAAAGTCGTCCAGCTGCACGGGGCTGAAACCAGATATGTAACATATTATAAACATACAAACATAAACAAGACAGCAACACAACATGTTAACATCTTTACAAAACTCGGTCTGACTTAGCATTTGTAACTTGTATTTTCAATTACAGAGTGAATGGAGTATCTACAAATACCCGACATGGTGATTTCCTAAATTTACTGAGGATGAACCCTTTACATTTTAATGTCCCCGTGACCTTTTCTGCTTTCCCAAAACATCCATGTAAAAAAAGGAAAATAAAAAGCATGGTCCATTTAACGAGTTGAGCTTTCCCTGAGGACCAAAATGGACATTTTACAGTGAGTATAGCGTTGCTTGGTAAATCTCAGTTCTCTTATTTGATCGTTTCTCGCTCCTCAATCAGGAAGCCGTTCCAGTCCAGCATCTTCAAGGTTGTCCCAAAGCTTGAGCGAGGAGGCTGCTGAAGGAGCCATGAGCAAGGATACATGATAGCATCCTTCACAGAAGTCGTTTGTTGACCGACGTTCCCCTTTATCAGAAATCAGTTGGACGCTTTGGGTGATTTTTCGATTCCTCTCGCCTCGCATCTAACGTGGGCGGGGCTTTGACGCAAGGAAAGGATGCAATTAAGCGAACTGAGATGTACCTGCTGGTGAATTTGGGTGTCCATGTTTTCTTTCTGGCGTCGGTTCAGTTTCTCTTTAATCTGCAGGATTAAACTGTTCTGTTTTCTGGCTGAAGCCTGGTGTTAGTGCAATGGCAGACGCAGAAATACACACAAACAAAGACAGAAATAAAACCACAGGATGATGAAGCACACAGACTGAGAGCCACGTGTCCTTGTTTAGTCCTGTTACCTTGTTAGCTTCCGTTTCTTTAAAGCTGTCTTGCTCCTATAAAATACAAACATGTAAAGTTCCTCATGAAGATTTCAGTCATTGACTACAGTAAGACTAGTTTACACATGGCATGCTGCATCATTCTGATCGCACTCATCTCTGCAGACATCAGGGCTCGACCGATGTGGGCTTTTAATGTCTTTAAACTCTTTATAAAACTTTTTGAGATTGAATTATCTGATTACTTAGCTTTTTGCATTTACAGTAGTTTGTTTGTTAACCTTCATTCTTCTGTCCTGGACTCAGATCTGGTCCTTTAAAGGTCGGCTCTCTGATTGTGCTCCAGTTCCCCAGAGTGTCCTCACTGCTCTGAAACTCCACTCAGCTAACAGCAGAGTCTTAAAACATCAGCTGGGACAACACCTGGGGATCTGGTGGCACTGTAATACGCACAGCCAGCTTACCTTAAACGAGAGTCGTGCACAATAAAATCTACATTCTAAAATACATACAACAAACTGTAACTAATGCACAAGCCAAACTAGCCGCATGCTACAGTGGAATTTCAAACACAACACAACAAAAGACGGCATGCAGACACCACACATGTAGGAAAGCTATAGCTAGCATCAGCCGTTAGCAACATGCTACATCCACCATGTTAGTAGAAACACACTCGATGTGACTTAGAAAGACACAGCATTGCAAGACGCCAGAAAAATTATTAGCGGACTTCCTGTTTTCCCCGTGAATCAAACTGGACTGCAAATTTATTTTTATTTCAAAGTGCAACTTTCAAGTGTTAAAGAGTCTGGTGGTATTCCACGTTTTTCTTCTTGTCAACAAATCCCATGTGCAAAACCAAACCAGAAGCAAATGTCACAGCCTGGTGGTCCTTCCTTTGTGCCAGAGAGCTCCACTGTGTCCAGAATTCCTTCATTTTAATGAACACACAGAGCACTTTGTAATGAATAATCCCACACTCACCATCAACTGTTTGTTGATTTCGGGCTAAATAAAATGAAATAGGTTTCTTAATGTCTCATGAAGGGTTTAACTAAGCTTCTCTTTAAATCTGGTGTTCACCAGATTTAAAAGATAATTATTTATTAGAAAACCAAATTCTATGACTTCCACAGGAAATGTCAGAAGTGACAAGGACTATTTTGTTGGCAAAGTTTTAATAGCAATGTCTTTATAGGATTTTAATATGAAGAAGATCAGTGAAAACATGTCATTCAAGTTATTCTGAACCCTGAAGTACTTGATAAACTGACTAATTGGTTCAGCTCAGTGTATTAACCCACTGCTGAGAACGGAGCCCATTTCAGTGCCATTTTTTTGATTTGGCAGTAAAATATACATGTGTATCATCTGCATACTTCTATGCAAGGGGAAGCATTCAACTAGACAACTAGGATAACTGCTTTGCAGCTGTATGCCTCTGCCAAAAAGTCAAAGTCATAAGAATCAGATAGACAGGAGGTCAATGTGACCTTGACCTTTGACCACTAAAATCTAATCAGTTCATCCTAGAGTCCATGTGGACATTTGTGCCAAATATGAAATTCCCTTATGGTGTTCCTGAGCCACTACATTTACAACAGTGGGGCAGACAGATGGACAGACAACCTGAAAACGCTATCGCCAAGTGCGGAGGCATAAAAATACAGGCCAAAGAATTGAGCCCTGAAGTAAATGCACTGCTGGTTCTAATGCCTTCATGAGATTTGTTTTTTTTTTATTTGTGCACATATTTGGACTACACACAATGATATTAAAGTACAAGACAACTAATTTCCACTTTGAGGCTGCTAGACCTCTACTGAGTCTAACAGAAGGGTTGACAGAGCTGCATGCAAATGAAAAGATACGTTGAATTATGTAACCCATGTAAATGATGACAAGAATGGCCAAATATAACCATTCTAGTCTTATCCTTTTTAATAAATGTATAAGATCCAACTTGCTTTCCTCAAATCAGTGCTCAGGGCAAAAACACAACCATAACTAGCACTGAAGGATACAGCTGCATATCGTCTACATAAAAGTGAAATGCTATAGTTTGTCTACTTATTGAGGGAACATGTGCAAATAGGGAAATGTATGAGGTTCAGTGCATCATTAAACACACTGTTGGATTTGGTCTCTTCACTGACTTTGGAAAAATGAAAATACTCAGACCAATACAGTTATCTCAGTCTCACCTTTATAAAACATGTGCAGCAGGTAAGTTCCATTTTGTGGCACATAATATACAAGATACATACTCTACATCTACCAGTTAAGTGGAAGCATGTAAATGGAGAAAAGAAAAGAAGAGCACCCAGAATCAGACCTTGAGGTACAGCCCATTGAAAAACACATTGCTGATCTTTTCATGAGATTTGTTGACAGAAAGGAACATACAGAATCACACCAGGCTTGAATTCTGGATCCAGACAAGATCAGTGGTTGGTTCAAATGGAAAGTAAAACAAAGTGTCTGATCAATACTGTAAGCTGTGGCTCTGCTAAGACATGCCCCTGAAGTGCAGCATTTTGGGCCAGCAAGTGCTTACTTACCAAGGATTAATATAAAAAGCCAAAAGATAGTCAGTCCAAAGGCAGGATGGCAGTAGGGTAAGGAAGGCAAAGAGGCTTCTTCGCCTGAAGGGGATTCAAATAAAAACACAAACAAGAAAACAACAAAAAACAGACACCAGGGGGCGACAGGTTGGGGACAGAACATTAGTAAAGAGGCACAGAGCGTCGAGAGCTTCACATTAGTGCTGAACACAGAGTTAATGCATCATGCAGCCGTTCAGAAAGTGTCCCGTTGTCTCTCTGGAGGACAACAGGGGTCTGTTTGCTGCTGGACGTCAATGGCCGCTCTGTCTCATTTGAACAACCCCCAGTCTGAGTCTGTGGCATCATTGCGTCCTCCCAGCCCGTCCCACAGTGTAACACTAGGACCCCCTTCATGTATAAACAGTTCACAGTTTGGCACTTGGTGGCGGCATCAAACCACGTGACAGCCACCTTCGTGAACCTGATGATCTTATTAACATTTGTGTCGCTTGGGTCATGACCCCACTGATGCAGATACATTTGAAAACTCATCTCTGGTTTGTTTTTCAACCTCACCGGGCGTCTTTTCTGTTCCTGCAAATGAAACGGTATCAAGAAAGCTGAAATCAAATGTCTTGTCAGACTCATGATGTTGACTTTTTCTTTTTATCAGATAACTGCTGATATACAGCAAATAACTTTGTAATTTAAACTATTTCATTTGGACAAGGTTTTGTACAGTTGCACGTGTTTAAGAAACATTTATATTTCACAGTTTTGTAGAAAGTCATGCTTATCAAAGTAGGGTGTTGAAAAATGTATTGCTTTGTTTCTTATCTGCACTTTTATTGGACCAAGAATACAGAGCTCTCACACACAATGTTAGGACTGAATGATGTTAACTTTTTCACCTTGTTAATGTACAAATCCAATTTTAATTTATCCTTACCTGCCTTATAGAAAGTAAGGCTCAGACCCAAGGATATTAGGGGGACTGATTTGAGAATCAAGAAAGGAAGTTGCGTGCTTCTCAAATTCATGTTTTTGACTTTTGCATTTGTGCAACATCTGCACACATATGAAAAGATCTAAAATGTCTACTGCTTAAGTGGTAGCATGTAAGGGGGAAAAAAAGAACAGGACCGGATATTGGGCCATGAGGCACACCACATCGCTAACACACTGGCACACCACATCGCTAACACACTGGTGATTTTGGTCTCTTCATGCGATTTTGTGTAAACAGTTTTGGCCAGATACAACCATCTCAGTCTTGTTCTTTTTATAGTAGAAATTACATCCAACACTCATGTTCCTCAAAACTGTATTCAATTAATTAATCAGCTAGTACCAATAGTGTTGACAATAGGAAAACTGCTGTCCACTTTCCAAAAGGCATGATATTGTACACAGCAGTGCTCTTTATGTTTTTTCCTGAGTGATTTTACTTTTGGGCTGAATTTAAGCACCAAACTTAAGGCTCACATTTATTTATTGACAATTCTGATGAAAATACTTAACTTTTTCCACATTTATCTGCATCAGTGGTGGTTTATTCATCACATCCACACTGCAGTAACGTCACACAGCGAGGTCTAAACACATGCACAGTCAAAGCATAAACACAACTCCACCGTCACATTAAGAAGAACACACTCTGATGGATATGTGCGTTTAGTGATGGAAGGTCAAATACAACAGCAGATGGAAGCCAAGGTTCTGCCTTAACTGACCGTCTTTCAGCTGTTATATTAATCACAAACCTCCAACTCTGAGTGTTTGTCATAAATAACACATGTAGGACTGATCTGACCCATCAGCCACATCAGTGTTTCAGAGAGACCTTTTCACCTCTTCCATTACAGAAAGTCTCATTTTAAAGCATAAACAACTGAACCTCCTTGTTTTGTACATTTTAACACAACCGACTTCAAAAGCACTGTGTCCCTATAATCTTAATTAAGGGAAATCCTGAGCTTTCATCATCAACAAACACCTCATTTCAGATGGTCCTCGTGCTGCTAAAGCACCACAGACAAGCTTAAATCTGCAAGTTCAGCTCCCTAATCGACCTCATCAATCCCCCGCCAGGCCGCTAATCTGCCCCTTTCCTGGGTGTTCTCAGCTTTGACGTCCAAACTGAGGATGTGTGATTACTGAGGCGAACCAGATTTCCACTGCTAAAAAACATCCACTCAGGTCTAATCTCAGCTTGAATTTGATGTTATGATGTTATTTAAACATTTTATAGTGATTTGAGGATGAAAAAAACAAACTGGGCAGACCCTTACCAGTTGTAAGGAAGTTTTCCATCTCTTTCAAATGAAGCAAAGTTGACAAAGGTTTCTGCTCCACACTCTCTGAAACACAAAACACCAAGAAACGCGTGGAAAAAGTGATGAGAAAAGTGCAGAGCAGTTTAGAGAAGTCAGAAGTCTTCGATGATTAATCAGCGAAAAGAGGAAGCAAGCTTCACAGCACAGGCATGAAAAACACAAAACTACTAAAAATACAAGTACTTTAGAAAACTACAGGATTTCATTAATGCAAAACAGAGAAAAAAAATCGAACATGACAGTGACTAAATATCAAGGAATGTATCATAACACAACAGTACAAATAACTACACCATCATTCACTGTCTCTTCAGGTGTTTTAACTCATGGACGACAACATAAAGTCATCGATCCAGAGCCTCAGCTCGTCACTGTCACACAAACATATTGATTCAACGTCCACCAGGTGTAAACCTTCACACTAATGAGGCCACAATGGGTTTTGTCGTGATGGTTGTCATCATGACAAGAGGAAGCTGTTTGTCCTAATTATTGTCTCTAAGCACTAAAATGTAACATGAATTGAACACAGATGAGCTGAGAGGGTGTTAACTGCAAAACCAGCCCATAACCTCAAAACGGAAGTCAACAGATGGCGTGAAGATCCTTAACAGGCTCCTCACCATCTACAGCTGAGTACCCTGTAAACTGCTGAAGGACAACCTGACCACATTACGCCTCTGGCCACGGCCGTTAAAGAGCAAAAGCATAACAAGGCGCCAAAACCTAACACCGACTCGTGCTGTCACAGATGGTCTGCAGCACAGGTCACATCCAAACTGGCCTGTAGCTTGGAGTCACTGTGCAGCTGTTACACTGCAGTTTAATGCAACATCGGTAAACTTCTACCAAAATAGTTGGAGCTACAACACAACTTTGGATTCCCTGACACAAACGTCTGTAAAACGTCGGCCTCTCACAGGCTCCTTAGACTGAATCAGTGTTTTTCTTCAAACCTTTGAAGACTCGGATATTAGGAAAGATTCTGATTGACAGCTTCTTCAATCAAAATAAACTATCTTTGGTGTAGAGTGGAAGAGTCGGTGATGTTTTCAGGCTGCAAGAGGAGAAATTAAGACCGGATTTATACTGTTGGTCTTTCCGCAGCACTGCTAACAAAAACAACAAAGCTGCTGATGGCCTTTTGTCCTAAACACAAATGAAACAAAAGCCAGATGAATGCAGAGTGCAATTAAGATGAAAACAGGATGAATAAGAGGCAAGAATATGACAAATTACCAGACAGCCTGAGATTAAACTGTGTACCTGGTCATCTGCAGGTGTTTCTTGCGGAGAACGAGCAGGAAAAGTATGAGCAGGCTGAGGAGCAGGATGCTAAGGACAGCCAGAGCTGAGATGGCCGCCACGCTCGGGTTCATCTCTTTAGCTGCACACACACACACACACACACACACACACACACACACCCACACACC